CTCTATAGAACTTTATTATACAACAATTCCAGAAAAAATATATGAGCCGTGTCATGACAAAACCAACATAGTGCGTTTGCGACCAGCATGGATCCAGACCAGCCTGCGCATCCGCGCAGTCTGATCAGGATCCATGCTGTTCGCTATCAGTTTCTCTACTTGTAATGGGTTGGTTAGCGAACAGCATGGATCCCGATCAGACTGCGCGGATGCGCAGGCTGGTCTGGATCCATGCTGGTCGCAAACCCATTATGTTGGTTTTGTCGTGTCACGGCTCATATACCTTTTAAAAGTCTCTCTTTTGAGGACAGAATAACATATTCGTCACATTCACGAGTGTCAGTATTTGTCAGTTACTCTTTTTAAAAATAAACTGAAAAAATACCTTTAGCTTTACAACACTCACGTTAAAGTGTAACCCTTTCCATATCATACAAAAGTGTTTTTTATATTAACCCTTTCTCTTACTAAGAGCATATATTTCTTATCAATTTCGCCATTGTGAAATAGAATAATTTTACTACATAGGATAAGATGAGCAATACTTTAAACATCTTCAAAACGAAACCAAAACATTATTTTCCGACAGGACTAAATCTACGTGATTTGACATGCGATACAAGTAAGTGTTGTTTGCTTTAAGGAACAATCAGTTTTTTTCACAATCTCTCTGTGAACGATCAACAATGAAAAACTCAATTGTAGAAAGAGAACGGTCGGCATGTTGCTTCGCATTTGCAACGGATTCTAAAATCTGCTTTAAACTGTAGTCCTTTATTTCGACTTGGAACTGGTGCCAGAATTGACAATTGAAGAAAAATGTAAGATTTATGTCATTCGTAATAAAAATATGAACATATTTAGGTAGAGTTTTGCCTTCCGTACTCCCGGTTGATGTAAACCTGACTTTTTAATCATGGCGTAGACCAGATAACGCCAGAAACGAAATAGCTTGCAACTGAAGCCCGCTCTAATACAAGCAACTTCCAAGGTTAGGCAAAGTGTTTGATAAAACGGCTTATAAACTGACGAAGATCCAATATTCTATGGAAAGCTTATATTTTTCCCCGTAGACTGGTGCATATCCCAAAGAAATTGGTACAGAAATAAAACATTTACGGCTATTTTCTTTTCCGAATCGAGCAACATTTGTCTTGGAAATGATGCCGAAAATGACGTCAATGTCACGTGGTATTGCCACACTGTTATTTATAATAGCAAAAATGTTCCAGTTGTGATATTTGCATACACTGTTTATTCTTTACGAAAAAAAACAAGCATATTCGTATAAAATAGGTAATTTGAAAACATTATATGGAGAAACGATCTAACAGTATTTCTACGAGATATATATTGTTTATACACTTGAAAAGGAGTCCATCAAAATGAAATTTGTGCAATTTTTGGTGGGTACCGCCAGATAAATGCAGTAGGCTTACCGTACTTGCTGGCGTTTATTGCAATCGCATCTTATCGGCCCTTTCCGCCAATGCAAACTTCGGAATAGAACTGCGAAAAGGATAGAAAGATTGTGTTTCGGTCTAGACTTTGTTGCGTAGACTTGGGGTTCAAGCTGTCTACCCATGACATTTATTTAAATTGGCTTAACTATAATTGTGGGTCGGTAGTCATTTAAAATTATGATGATCAGACATATTTAAGGTCATGGTTTTATAGACTTTTTCCTTTGGTTTTATACATTTGATATACATTATCAATGATTACAACCTCTGTTTTGTTTGCATTTAAAACCACATAATGGAGCTACTTTCGGTCCGTATTGTCCTCCCTCTGTCTGTCCTGGGTCAGAGATAACACTGATAAAAGCCGAGATGTTCCGATTTACTCTAACGTTGACGATTTTCTTTTGACCTAGACAATTTGTATATTTGAATTTCAACTTAACCACAATCTGCAAAACGGGATGCAGTCAGTATGTTAAATCTATTTGCTATTTTAAAAGCTCATATAACGTTGAACATATTGCCATGTAAAGTTATACAGGAATGACGATGCGTCATAATCCGTCTAAGATATGCTTCATGATTGGTGACAATCAAATTATAAGAACTTTTTGAAATAAATAGTTATTTATTTATTTCGTGGCAAAAAGCTCTTTTGATGAACTGCGATCAGGTGCCAACATCTACATATTGCTAGTGAGGTTTTCATACATGGAGCAAAATTTACATTGTATACCCATGATCGTAGTTCATTCCATAGTGGTTGACTGTTGGTACTGTGATGTGTATACATTCTATTTAGGTTGTATGTGTCTTAAAGAACTGGCAAGATGACTAAGCGTTCTTTACTTAGCTCCAATTTTTATTATGCAGTTTATTGTTAACACGATTATACATGTATATTGCACTGGTAGTTATATCGGGTACGTTGGTGTACATAGATTGTTGGTTATAATAAATCGGGTAGTGTACCTTGTCTGCTGGTAATAACAGGCAAGGTATGCCACCTTGTCTGCTGGATATCAACGGTACGGCGGTGTACCTTGTTTGTTGGTTATATACGGCATGGCGGAGTACCTTTTCTGCTGGTAAAATACGTTACGTCGGTGTACTATGAATGCTAATAGTATACGGTACGTCGTTGCACTATTTGTGTGTTATATAAGGTACGGCGGAGTACCTTGATTATTGGTTATAATAAATCGGGCGGTGTACCTTGTCTGCTGGTTATAACAGGCAAGGTATGCCACCTTGTCTGCTGGATATCAACGGTACGGCGGTGTTCTATATACGTAACGTCGGTGTACTATGTATGCTAATAGTATACTGTACGTCGGTGCACTATGTGTGTTTGTTATATTAGGTACGGCGGAGTACCTTGGTATATTATATATCGCCAGGTTGTCGCAATGAATCATGCTTGTTTATTATTAAATCAAATTGCAACAGGGATAGCGGTTGATTTGCGGGTATGGCGTGATCGTTCATTGTCGCATTTTGATATTCCAGAGTGTTAGTATGTGGGAAGATCTATCTTATATATTTAAGTAGTTTTTAAATGACGATTTCGTTCCGCTCGCCCTGTCATGGCCACTTCGCAAATAATTTAGTAAATAATTCAGAAATTACATTATGGAATGTTTTGATGATTGCTGGTAATAAGATATGAATATAAATGAATGGTTGTTGTTGCTGTCAATTGTTAGTCAAACCCGAATCAAAAATTCTTAACTAGTGTTTATTCTTTTGGGGAAAGTAACGTATCTTATCTCATCATGTATGTTATAAATTGGCATATATACTCATTAATAAAGACTGAATATTAAAAACAACACGACAAGCATGATTCTGAAATATGAAATTGAATTATAAAAAACTATAAGTTGTAAAAGTAAAACAGGTCGTAGCATAAAATAACAGAACCATTCCAGAAAAGGACTTTTAGGACATTTCTGCTGCAGATTTGACGAAATTAAGAAAAGGTTGCCCGTCCTCTTTCATAACACCAAAGACAACGCTGACAATAATTAATACTGCATGATCCTAAAATGATGATTAACTTATAAATCAATACACCAGTGTGGCAATTTAATTTAACAATTTATTTTGAGTAGAGTTTATGGCGTCGTATAATATCTTTTTCAACGGTAGGACTGTTTTGTCGCAAATAGGGTGGTGCTAACTACATGTATACCTAATTATTTATGAATCTTCTTATGGTTATCTTAGAAGGATACATTAGGTAAATAAATAAAAAATATGTTTAAGGAAAACTGCAATCTTATATATAAATTATCTTCTCGGCAAACTTACGTCAAAATTTACAATAGTAAGAATACAGAGAACGGATACTGTATCGTGGTCTAACCTTAGCTAAGAAACTAAACATGTTAACAAGTAGTAATTAAATGCTAGGAATTGATGACTAGATTTATACTAATTTATCGAGAAAAAGGCCACCTGAATTAAGTATATTTATACATTTGTAAAAGTAAACATTACAATATTTATGTACTTGCGATATTATGGTTGTAGAAAGAGAAAGAACAACATTTCTACCTGTTGTCATTTATTCTGATTTGATTACAATTGTCCATCAGTGGGCATTTTTAAATGTTTTTTTATTGTCAGACATATTTTCAATCATAGTTTTACCGAAATATACTTTTTCCCCCGAATGTCGAGAATGTGTATTCGTTATACATCATCAATGATTACACCCGCTGATTTTGTTTATATATAAAACAACGTGGTAGAACTACTTTAAATTCCGAGTTTATAATTGATAATAGTTTTGATGTTCCGATTGGGAACACTTTATTTCCTGGCTCTATAAATGGTCTGTACTTCGTCACTCAGTTTCCTTTTGTAAATCGGAACACCTCTGATATATGTTATTTATAAGCTTGAGGTGAGAACGGATTGACATATTTCTAACACGTGACTTCAGATGTAAACAAAATAGGGGGTGTAATGTTTGCATATTGTGAAATCAATGTATTTATTTCACATTCAATGAAAATTAAAGTCAATTTCTTAAATAACGAAGACTGGCAAATAGATGTGCAGTTACTTATCTTAGTAGATTTTTAAGCGTCATGAAATTGCATAGCGCTTTTAATGTAATCAATAATTTCTTAATTTCTGTTTTTCTTCTGTTTTGTTGTTGTTTTTTTATTATTATTAACATAGTTAACATAATTCAAATCAGTTCCTATACTGTAGATGCAAAAAGGTTTGCAAAATAGTTATATTGACATAACCTTGTTATATCAATTTTATGTTTGTTTTGACAATTATGACATACAAACAAAAGAGATCACGCGTTTTCTGTTTGAATAATAGTTTTATCTTTGACATATAATATATAATGATAACGTTTCATCCGAAAATTCAAAATAAGTGCATGTATAATTTTCATGTTTTATTTCCTTAAAATCAGAATCTCTGAAGTTCTCGGATTGTTAAATACTAAACAAAAAATAAAACACAATAAAGGTATGAGGTAGGGCCTTGAGAGCAATACCTTTGTACCCGACAAATTGTTAAAAGATCACGTGATATTCAATCAGTTATCTAGCTTTGCATACGTCAGAGATAACAGAACTATCAATGTCATATCTCATTATTGAAATGACTTACCTTTCGGTTATTTCGGAATGAAAAGTAGAAAAAGGTATGTTTCAGATTTATTTAGTTTTATTATAGGTAAAAATAGAACGTTAAAACATGTTTATATGTCACTTCCTTTTTACATTGTAAACTTATTCAAGGTTTAAATGATCTGCCTGTTGGTATATTCCACATTCAACATTCTCATTTGAATTTAGTTTCACTTAAAAAACTTAAATAATTGTTTTATTGGTTTAAAAGTTCGTTGTCTTGATTAATTGTTTGCTTATTTTTTTGTTGTTTTTTTTACGTCGCACCAGCACTGTTAAGGACATATGACGACTTTCCCAGTGACGACCTAAGTTGCTCATCCGTTCAATTTTCGGACACGAATTGTCAGCTGGCCCTGCTTTTTAAGTTATCAAAGTCAAAATTTCAGGTCAGTGTTGACATAATTTTCAACAATTGATATTTTCTTAGTTTGACGTTCATCAACAAAACAAAAATATGAGGAAAAATCTAAATTTTCGCTTTGAAATTTTTCTCAGATAGATTGAGAAAATTGTATAGCTTTCTCAATTTATAAAAACGATAAATAAATATATAATTCTACCAGCTTGCTTTATGTTTGATTATATTATTAATAAATCATTCAGCCTGTCTTGCAAGAAAAAAATAAAGAAAGAAGAGAGAATGAAAGACAACACTATGGTGGCTGATTTGTGCCATTCGTGTTTTCGCCCGCGACCCCGCCAAGCGAAAAGTCGAAAATTAACAAGTTAAAATGGCGGAGGCGCGCAGCGAAAACACGCAAATTAGCGAGGGCGCGGGGCGAAGTGTAATAAAAGCGAGACTGCTAGCCTGTTACCTTGCGTACTTAACGGCTATCTTTCTGAAAGGTTTTCATATGTGGCATAATCACGAGTGAAAATATTACAGATTGCGTTAATGAGTGAATTATTTTTGTCGTATATGCAAATCAAACAAATATACTTTTTTCCTTGTTTGTTATCTTTTTCAGAGTAACGTCACAATGTGCACAAAATTATTATATGCTTTTGTCACACTTTCGCTATACAATTTTCATAGATTGATTATCTCGTAAGACTTCATGACTGTAGCTCTACTGTTTTCAAAAAGCCTAAACAACATAACAATTGAAATAATCTCTACATAGATCCAGTGGAGCTCTTAAAATGGAAACATGTTTGCAACGGAAAATTGTTAGCTCCATTTTGGTGAAAAGCGTTACACACAAATTTGTATTGCTTCCAAATATGAATCAATCCAATGTCTCTGGTGGGGTTTGAACCAGGAGCGGTGAAGGGCAAGTGGTTTGAAGACCACCTTCGGCAGCGGCAGTCCTGTATTTGTCATTGTTAATATCAGAGAAAACAATCATGAAATTTGTCTTATTACAAGTTTTGACTTTAAATGAAAAATCAAAGTATTTTTTAAACTTTTGCAAAGTAAACAATGTGTGATTTACAAATTTACAATGTCATATTTGTCTCTATTTTCATTAGTTTAAGTCTGTAACGTGTACTGCCTGTTCATTTTTATAGCCCATGTCTTCACAAAATAGTTGAAAAATACTGCTATACATAAATCAATCAATCAATCAATCAATCAATCAATCAATCAAACAATCAATTGTTTCAGTTTTGATGACCATATTGGATAAAAAAGAAGTTATGTTATTAGTCTTTGTATAATATAATTTAAAAGTGAACAAAATGTGTATACTCTTTAAGTCATTCGAATTAGATTAATCTAAATCAATTCAGATAAGATTGATAATGAAAAAAATACGTCAGCGGTATAGACTATATAAAAATTAATAACGCAATATATAACTATTATTAGCCTCTTGGGATTTCCTCATTAAAATTGTATCTAAAAGTAGCAGAGAATCGTTATGTTAACGTTCAATTGTTAATTCATTACATTGCAATCACTAGTAAATAAATACACAGTTTGAAATTTTATCTAAGGTATATGAACATTATCACATATTTGATTTTATATCAGCAGTTAACATTGTCCACGCTAAAGATAACAAATATACCAAACATTTTAACTTTTAACAATAATTTTAAACAACTGTATATTTCTACTTATTGAACTAAAAAGTAGAAAATAAACGCAGTTTAAAATGTTCTTTTTAACGCTTGTATCAAAGTTGAAAATTGTTAAATCGTATACATATACATGTACAGTGCGTTAACTGGAGTGCAGGTATTTGTTACCCTCACTCCAGAGCATGCCCATTGATTGGCTCATTTTTGCCGGGGTTTACATATTGTGACGGCAGAGAAAGGTAAAGCGACAATAATATCATATTCAGCTGTTCGTTCAGTGGTTGCTTTTTGCCGGGGTTTTATTTTGTGACAACAAGGAACGTGTTTTTATGTTTGACTTTGATACAAAAGAGAAAGAACATCAAAACACTCGGCAATCTTGTTAATACTCGGGGGCTACGCCCCCTCGTATAAATCAGATAGCCTCGTGTTCCGATGCTCTTTCTATTACATTGACAGTAATTGTCATCGATCTTAAGGTGGTATTCCTAGTTCATTTTTCACCGAGTGTTCACAAAAACAGAGTGTATATTGAATATAACTTCAGATAATCATAATTATTTGTACAGAATAAATAGGCCACTAAAGTAATGAGTTTATAAAGCAAGACGTTAAACAACTTGCAACACAAATTTTCTGTATTTTTTTATAACAATGTAAATAAACGGACCTTGTAGTACCCCCCCCCCCCCTAAAAAAATATGTTTGAAACATTACTTGTAGTTAACAAGTACCTGCCCGGGGTAAAATTATTGATACAATACCCACGGGGGAGAATCACGCCGTTCGTTACCCAAACAAACAAGATGGCGGATGCAGCCAAAAAGTAGGGGTTTCCCTTTTTTCTCTGAAAATCGTGATGTTCTAATGTAAAAGTACATATAACAACCTTCTCCACAATTTTCCTGGCACACAGGATTTTATTTCATGATGTTTCGTCCGTACTTCATCTGATATGCGCGTCACCAGATTCGAAGCGAGACAATTTTCCACCGGTTTGATCGTGGTAACGTACGGCTTTTTCTCTAAAATTCACTGTTTCGTTTACATATATGTCAATAACTGAAACCACTGACCTTAAAAAGTTGTAATATGTCGTCATCTAAGCATACATGCCAATTCTGGCTAGAATAACAGTAGTATAGGCGTCTCTTTAACGCCACGACTGCGCATGCGCGGCGCCATATTGGATTCTATTTTTAGAATGACATTATCGTTCTATTTTTAGAATGACATCATCTGTCTATTTTTAGAATGACATTATCGTTCTATTTTTAATCTCCCGGAAGTATACGGAGCTGACTTGTATACCCGATTTAGGGCGTGAATTGCGGACATTGAGGGTCAGGTCCTAGGCCCAAGACGGGGAGATAAAATTAGTATCCAAGCATTTTTAAATTGAATGGCAAAAATAATGATTCCCTTTGTTTTTATATTTCCCACACTGCGTACAGTGTACTTGACAACTGATTTAATTATTACTTTTAATCAATGTTCTCTATAATACACGTTTAATTTAACTTAAATAACTAACATTTTAAATGTATTTCTTCATATTTTAAATATCACCCTTAATACATAATTTATCTTATACATTTTCAAATAAGGTTATTAACATATTTATTTTAAGTATTTCTTTATAAACATTTAATAAAAATATTACCTCTTTACTCCTTAAGCTCCAGCAACGAAATGACTCCAATATTAAAAGTACTATCCCTTAATGCGCATGCTTGGATCTGATGACGTCACCAATGCAATAAAACAAGCTCCAACATGTCGCGCGTCTATTTATTTAAGGCCGACTGGGCGGACAATTCAAAGTAAACATGTTAAATTTGATCCTTTAAAAGTTGCCGCACTGTCTGGCGTGTGTTTATTTAGGGACGGATACATTACATGGTCTATTCAAGTGCCAAGGCTAGCTTGTTTACATTATTTGGCGTGTGTTGATTTAAGAGCAGATGTGCGGACAAAGGCCCATTCAACTGTCAAAATTAATCCCATTGAAGTCACCACGAGGTTTGGCGTCTTGTTAATTTAGGGAAGAATACTTTAACAATGGTCTATTCATATGTCAAAATTAATCCCTTTTAAGTTTCCGCGCTGTTTGGCGTTTGTTTATATAAACCCGAATGAGGTATAATGGACATTGATTTTATCAATAGAGATATTGACAAAGGTTTAATCCCCTAACAAAGGGTATTATACTTTTAACTTACGCGACTGTTCAGTTATGACCAGTTTGATCCGGTTTTTCTATATTTAATCAACCAATGAAATTGCAGCCTCGTTTTGAAAACGAGGCTCTGTGGAGAGTATATAAGAACACGCACGAGCTCCCATCGTCATTCTGATTTCAGAACTCGAACAAGTAACATGGAAAATATTGCAGCTACTTTTGAAATAATGGTGAATTCTTTCACCGACGCTGACGAATTAATGAATTTTGCTGCGACATGGGGGATACAGGATTCCCCGGGGGTGCGGTTTCGTTTATTTCAATTGAGGAACCCCCAGTACGATGATGACTTTGTGGAGGAGGAACTGGACAATATACTGCACAGTTTAGGAGGGTCACTCGATGAAGAAAATCTAGAGTTAGCCCTAGATTACGTAAAAGAGCAGGAGGAGATAGAAGGTTCAGTGAAATCACTATTATTCGATGAGGAAATGGAAGCTACAGCTAACGCTTGTGTGGAAGACGGGGAGTGGAGCCCTCAGTCACCTGTTATGATAGGGGGTGGAGATGAGCCCCTACCGGGACCCTCTCATAGGCCCGACGCCCCACGGGAACTTCAATATACGATAAGAAAAAAATCAGAAAGGACCTATGCAAAAAAAGCGGCAGTTGATCGTACATATGAGATTAAAATTGATGAGCAGTATAACGGCCACAGACTGCAAGACGTGAGGCGAGGACTTTATCGGATGTTTGAAGATGTGTTGGAAGAGGCCCGGGGCAATTTGGCAGGGAACGATT